TTTAATACTTAAGTAGATTTTGTGTCAGAAATTTACTTTTGATACTTAAGTACAAAAATATCAGATACTTTAAGACTTTTACTCAAGTAATACTTTTAGAGGAGACTTTAACTTTTACCAAAGTRTTTTTATGATAAGATACTTGTACTTTTACTCAAGTATCACTTTGTGGGACTTTATACAACTCTGAGTTTTAGTATTTTACACAGTATTTCTCAGAAGTTGCTGATCATTGATCAGTAAAACTCTCCTCATGATGATGATGATGATGATGATGATGATGATGATGAAGATGACAGTAAAGTAACAAACAGAAAACAGGTTTTATTTTCTCTGTAGTGTTTATTTGATTTGTGAGGTCATCTGATGGTTACGTCTCACTTTATCTCCTGAGACTCGGTGGTGACCGTTCCGTCCTCGGTGACCTCTTTAGTGACGATCACGACTTTCCGAGTCGTCGTYGTTGATGAGGAGGATTTTGAGGAGGAGGAGCTGCAGGGAAACGAGACATGAGTTAAATTCACATCAAATCAAAGTGAGGATCAACAAACTGGGCCCAAAGCGGCCCGGCTCAGTCCCAGTCGGGACAGACGGGCTCACCTGCCGCCTCCCTCTCCGTCCAGCAGCCTTCTGTACTCGTTGATCTCCAGCTCCAGTCTGGTCTTGATGTCCAGCAGGGTCTGGTAYTCCTGTCCCTGCCGTGCCAGGTCGGCCCTCAGCTGCATCAGCTGCTCCTCCAGAGACGTGACCTGCATCTGGTAGCCGTGCAGGCGCTGGGCGTAGCGGTTCTGTGTCTCTGCCAGCGAGGCCTCCAGGCTGGCTTTCTGTGGGGACCAGGAGAAGATGGCTCAGCTTCTTGTTTTCAGTGCTTTTATTTTGGCGGGATGTTTTAGACATGTTAAATATGTGATGCTCACCATGCTGAGCTGTGACTGAAGCTCGATCTCCAGGCCCTGCAGAGTCGATTTGAGGTCTTTGAACTCTGTCCTGGTGGTTTGAAGGGTTTCTGTGCTGGCAGCGACTTGTTTGTTCAGGTCCTCAGACTGTGGACGAGTCGAAACATGACTTCAGAATAAAACACATGTTTGACCTTTGTAAGTAGTTTAAATATTTGTTAACAGGTAGTGTTGAGGTGTAACTCCACCTCCGGCCACTAGATGGTGCCAGAGACACTGACCTGGGTCAGACCTGAGCTGAGGAGTCTCTGATCTCACCTTGGCCTGGAACCAGTTCTCCAGATCTTTGCGGTTCTTGTTGGCGACGCTCTCGTAGTGTTCTCTGATTTCAGCCATGATGGCGGTCAGGTCCTGCTGGGGCGCGGCGTCCACCTCYACATTGACCGTCCCGCTGACCTGTGACCTCATGCCCAGCATGTCCTGCAGGGACAGCTCCAGGTTAGTGGAAATGTTGCATTAAAGCGTCTGTGTTTAGTCGAACGTCTGGTCTCACCTCCTCGTGGTTCTTCTTCAGGTAGATCAGCTCCTCCCTCAGGGTCTCGATCTGCATCTCCAGGTCGGAYCTGGCCAGCGTCAGTTCGTCCAGGATCCTCTTGAGTCCGGCGATGTCGGCCTCCACGCTCTGCCTCATGGTCAGCTCGTTCTCGTACCTGCAGGTCCGAGCACAGCRTTAGTCCCGCCCCCTGCAGACCCCTGCTGCTCGGGTCGGACCCTCACACTCACTTCAGCTTGAAGTCGTCGGCGGCCAGCTTGGCGTTGTCGATGCCCAGGTACACGGCGCCGTTCTGCTGTTTGGCGGCGACGATCTGAGGCCAGGAAAGAGCATAAAGTTCAGAAAAACACAAACAAATGTTTTKGTTCTGCTGGTTTGGGTGTGGCTCTGGTCTGGTTCTGGTAGGTCGTGTCGAGCTGCAGGGCGTTATGTCTCAGCAGTGACCTCTGACCTCTGCTCTCCRCTGAACCTCTGAGCTCAGAACCAGAATTGGGTCTCACCTTGTCGTTGAGCTCACTGATGGTCAGGTAGTAGGCAGAGTAGTCCCGGCCCTCGGGTTTGGCCTGGCCCTCCATGAACTGTCGGATCTTCAGCTCCAGCTCGGCGTTGGCCGTCTCCAGCTTGCGGACCTTCTCCAGGTAGGAGGCCAGGCGGTCGTTCAGGTTCTGCATGGCGGCCTTCTTGTTGTCGGAGATGTCCACRGCGTCGCTCAGGCTGAACCCTCCTGCTCCTCCTCCTGCAGCCAAGCCGAAGCCACCTCCGGCACCTCCACCATAGGAGAACCCTCCACCTCCACCTGAGGAGTAACCTCCACCCAAACCAGAGGAGAAGGACTTGGAAGCACTGGAGCTGGAGATCCGGATCCCTCCGCCCCCGGCGCCGCCRTGCACGCTGGGGGACCTGAAGGAGCTGGAGCGGTAGGACTGTGAGGAGAGCATGGTGGAGGAGTCGCCTGGTCCTGCTGGAGACGAGGAGAGAATGCAGAAGAGGAGCAGAGGAGTGGCTTTTATGCATCTGGGGGGAGGAGGGGAGGGGTTCTAGTGTGTCCACCCCCTCCCGGCTTGCCGCAGGCACCGTGGTGACAAACACATCACACCTGGAATGTCAGGTATTCACCTGTGTTGCATATTCATGTCTCCTGCAGGGACTTGAGTCAACCAGATCCAGTTCCTAACCCGGACCTCCCTGCATCCCTGGTGCACCTGGAGTCCTGGCTTCATGTTCTGACCTGCTTCTAGTGTTGCTGTGGGCCCTGCAGGTCTGCACACATCCCCCCCCCCCACACACACACCCTTTGTTCTGTTGTTGTGCAACCAAACAATGACTTCATGTGTTCAGAATCTGAGCTTCACTGCAGCTCAGAAACACGAACTGTGGAGCTCAGGTCCAAGATCTAAGATCAACTGAAACTTTGTGTAGAAGATCTCCTGAAGTCTGTCCTTCTCTGTGTCCATCATCAGTCTTTCCCTCTCAATTCAATTCAGTTTATTCATACAGCTCCAAGTCCCAACATACGTTGTCTCAGGACACTGTAGATAAAAAGAACAATGTAAAGAAGAAAGCAGCAGATTG